GAGAGAGAGAGAGAGAGAGAGTGAGAGAGAGAGAGTGTGAGAGAGAGAGAGAGAGACATTCTGAGTTTATATCTCACAATTATGGGTTTATATCTCGCAGTTCTGAGTATATATCTTGAAATTCAGAGTTTATATCTTGAAATTCTGAGTTCAAATTGAAATTCTTGACAGTTCTGATATAAACTCAGAATTATGAGATTATAAATCGCAATTACCTTTTTTATTTTTTTCAATTCTGTAAAAGAAATGGGCTTTCATACTACACTGCAAAACATCTGAAGTCATTCGATAAGTTCATGTGAGGAACAGACTGAAATATAAGTGGTTATTCACTAATAATCTACCCATATGTTGAATCAAAATTAGATTCAAAATGGCGTCTTGGCACACGGAGCACGTTTTGGCCGAATGTGTTCTTCACACAAAGCTATTATATGACTTTAGCATACTATATGATTCTCGCAATTCATTTCTTTTATGGTCCTTATAGAAATTATTCAGTCAAGATATATTCTTGCTTTCTGCAGTGTTATATTTTGGTTTAGATGAACGTCTTTCAACAATCAAAGGATCTCAATGCTTTTTCAGCATCTGACACCATGTGCACCACATTTTTAAGACGCCACGTTAAAAATAGTTAGACCCCTGCATTCTATTCCTTTCCATTCCGCTGCATCTCGATGTTTTCTAACACATGAATGCATCTTTAAGACAAATGAATGGCTCCTTAGGGTGTTTTTTATTCTTTTTGGAGCTTGACAGCAGTGTTATTGTTAACTAAAACTACAACTACTGAATAGTGTTTATGTCAATTGAAATAAAGCTAAAATAAAGTAAAATATAAATATTACGTGAAAAACGTAAAACTTAAACGAAAAGCAAATAACTGAAAATAAGTTGAAGTACTAAAATGACTAAAACTAAAACTGAGATAAATATAAATTAAAGATTAAAAAAAAGTTTTTAAAGATTAAAAAAATTATAAAAGCACAAAACAAAATCACTAAAACTTAATTCAAAACACTACAATAGTATACAGTATTAAAAAATAGCAAAATAACACAGCTTGACAGTCAACGTCACTATAAACTGTCATTATGTGGAAAACAACTGCATGATTATTCTTCAAATATTTATCTTTTTTTTTGTTCCACTGAAAAAAAGTAACAGCATACAGATTGGAAACAACAGTAAATGACAGAGCATTTTTTTTCTGTGAACTACTCCTTTCACAATTACAAATGTGTTTGATATGTTGTTGTCAAAGAATGGAGCAAATAATGACTTGATACATTAGTCATGAACTAAAGGTTCACAATGCTTTTGATACGCCATTTATGACATTTTTCCAACTGCAGCTTGAAACATGAGTCATTGGTGATAAGGTGCTACAACATGTACTCTTTCATAAGTCTTTAGTGATATTTCAAGGATTTTATCTGTTGTGGTCAGGCGTGGACTGTAGTTACAAGCTGTTTTATAACTCAGACCTAGATTTAGCCCAGAGGCAAGAGAAAGGATGAAGGAGAGAGACACAGGCATTGGGAATTCAGAGGGCTCTGTTCCAAAACCTAGTCATCTGCCTTGCTGTCTACTATCTAAAGCAGCATACTAACTGAAACAGAACCTCAAAACTGACCGAACTGGTACACTCTACAAACTAGTAAGCTCATTTCAAGACATGACAGGCGCACACCTGACTCGAAGGCTGTTGCAATAGGAAGGTATCGGCCAAATTCGAACACTGTGTCCTAAACTCACGTGCATACATGCACACACACTGCAACAGGACATCTGTCTGCCTCCACCTGTTTTCAACTAGGTCAGCCTGAAGCCAGTCATTGCATCTCATAGGCGTTTAATGAAGAGCCTAAAATAACTGGCACTCGCACACAAGAGTCAAGACCCCTGCCCACAATGCACGAGTTACTACTAGATGAAAGCTCTCAATAAAACATCCAACTCTGCAGAGCTGAAATGCTGGACTGAGTTCAAATGTGCATGCCACCGTTTCAAGTTCAAGCATGGGTAGCTGCCATCATACAGATCGGCATGAAAATCTGGACACCGGAACATCACGTGCTTTAAATATTGTTTGCAATGAAAATGTTCTCGCCTGTGCAAAACTCGAAGTCTCTATGATATTCTGGTTTCTATTGCTGGATTTTTTTTTTTTTATATATATATTTTATATAAATATTAAATAAAATATTTTGTGTCATTTTTGTTTTATATTTTACAATTATTTAATGTTTAATTTTATATTCATGTTTTACTTTTTTCAGAGGTTGAAATAAAGTAAAATATAAATATATGAAAAACTCAAACGAAAATAAGAACTGAAATGAAAAAGAGTTTAAGCCGACGAGCTAACAAAAATGTGTTCTAAGAACGTTTTGTTTACTTTCATTAAGTTATGAAAACAATGTTTCTGAATGTTCTTTGAATGTTCAAAACGTCAATTTTTTTTATGTTTTAACGCATTTTCTTGGTTATACGAATGTTAAGGGAACATGCAAACATTATGAGAATGTTACTTTTTGAATGTTCTCTGGACATTTTGAAACAACTTTGAAAAACTTTAAAGGAATGTCTTATGTTTCAGAAATAAAATATTCCATGAACGTTTTTGTTCTAACGTTTTGAGAACATTAGTAAAAACCAAATAATATCATATTAACATTACTGGAAAATGTTAGTTCTTAACTTTGAGAGAACCTTGCCAGAACATTCTAAGAACGTTTCTTGTTAGCTGGGGAATTACTAAAATTGCTGAAACTAAAAATGAGTACATTATGCACCAAGGAATAACACCTTTAAAAAGGTTTCATACTACTTGTTTCCACTAACAAGTAGTCTAAAGGAATAAATAAACTCCAACCCTCTCGCACAGCAGAGCTAGAGAGAGATATATATGCCCTCTACAATTTCACACACCATTTAGTGGCTGATGAATGGGGCTTGAAAAAAACAACTGCCCACTTGCTGGGCACCACATATGAGGGGCTGTAATTTCACAGATGCACGAAAACAACTTGCTGCCACTCTGCATTGTTTGGACACAGAAGAGTCTGCGTGCACTTGCTGCACGCAATGAATTCCACACATGAACTTCTGGCTTGGTACCATGCCATTCGTCTGGTGACCACAGAGGCGGAGATGCCATAACAAGGACCTTTTTCACAGTATGTGCAGTATGGAAATCATCTTTGTCTTTGATACCTTGAAGCATCACATCACAATCGAATGGCTTTTTGGGTGGAATGTGGATCTACTTCATTCCTGGCTAACTGGTTTACACAAGCACAATTACACCATTGATTTCCAGTGGAAGTATGCTTTTCAATATTGTCACATGCACAATAGAGAGTAATAAAGCATTGCATACCTTGATTTCCAAGATGATGATGAAATGGGTGGAAACTGTCATCCTTCACAGGGTCCTACTTTCCAGGTGTCGTGGGAAAGGTAAAGGTGCATGCTTATATTTGAGGTATATAACTCAAAAGAAAATACTATGATCTCACATTATACTGTATTATACCATACTATACTATGCTACCCTTGCACATTAGCACAATATAGGCTACTATCCCTCACAGTACTATACTGACTCCACACATCACACTGTACTACACAATATACAGTACACTATACTTCACTAAACAATCCTATTTGTTACCACATTATACAATATCACACTATAAGATTTAATATCTGCCCCTAACTATTATACACTATTGCACATTGCATAGCCTACTGTACCACATTCTCATATCACATTACATAGGCTATCAAACCGTTATTACATGAGAATGTAAGATAGCAATCTGTCAGTGTCGGTGTCTTATCTCGACTATCATCAGATGAAAACTCAGGTGAAATGATGCGCATGTCACAATCGCGAGCTGTTAATGCTCTTTATGTCTGAACTTGCACCGGTGAAACATGTTGCCACAAACACTCGCAAACTTACAGAACTGGAATAGGTTTCTCTATGCAATGTCTGAGCGGTCTCGCTTGCAAAAACGCGCCGGCTGTGTTGACACTGTGCAAAAATGGCACTGGATAAAACACACGAGCGCGCAATGCATGGCACGAAATGAGAAAAGACGCACCTTTACGCGCCGCTCACCGCCACCAGTGAGATACAGATCAGCAGAAATCAAAGCGCACTTGTCTCACTCAAGTACACATGTCGGTTTGTACCCTTCAAAGTATACAGTGACATCATTCATGAGTTTCAAAATCCACAAAGATAAAGGTCCAGAAGTGCAGACCAACCTGTAGCGTGAGCAGATTGCCGTCAGCTCCACGGAAACAGTGCGGTCTACAAGCAGCTGATGCGCGGCATGAGTTCATATGACAGCACTGGAGACACACTGATATTTATACACACCTCCAGACTCCTGCTTTACACTGTTTACAACGCCGGTGCGAAGCCGCGCCCACTGCGCGACGATTGGCTGGATGTATTCGAAGTCACGCCTACTTGCATCTGATTGGCTCGACGGAACCCTGTGCGGTTCAAGAACTCAATGTACAGTATCTGGCGGCTTCAGACGCGTTCCACAATCTTCTGACTGTAAATGAGATGATTATTCATTAGGGAATATGTAAAAGATCATGGCCAACAAAAAGTATTACACTGAAAACCGCACTTATGATTGCGTTCGAAGTAACATGACGAGACTTCCATTCTGCTCACATTTCAGCGGATGCTTTTATTTTATTAAAAAAAAAAAAAACAACAACAAAAGTGATTCTATTCAATTTACTTATGTTGATTTAGCAGATGCTTTTATTCAAAGTGACTTGCAAATGAGGAGCGCAAGAAGCCGTTCTGTTCACTGATGGAAAGATGTGCTGGTAGTTTTGTCTGCATCTGTGGAAAGCAGCACTGTTATAGAATCATGATTATGAATTATGACCCTACAGAGAGAGAGAGAGAGAGAGAGA